AATGTAGGCAACAAAATTTCAGACATCATATGCAGCAGAATTTTCACTGATACATCACCTAAGGCAACAGAAACAAAGGAGAAAATAAACACATGGGACTACATCAAACTCAAAACCTTCTGCACAGCAAAAGAAACAACCACCAAAATGGAAAGGCAACCCACTGTATGGGAGAGCATAATTGCCAATGACATATCAGATAAAGGGTTAATTTCCAATATATATATAGAGTGCTCATACAGCTCAACAAAAAGAAGACAAAGAACCCAATTAAAAAATGGGCAGAGGAACCAAATAGACACCTCTCCAAACAGGACATACAAATGGCTAAGAGACATATACATATACACAATGGAGTACTATGCAGCTGTAAGAAAGAAAGATCTCTTATCCTTTGAAATGATATGGAGGGACCTGGAGAGTATTATCCTATGCGAAATAAGCCAAGCAGAGAAAGACAAATATCACTTTATCTCACTTATTTGTGGAATATAATGAACATAACAGGATGAGGAACGGAGTAGTCCCAGAGACGTGGAAGTGGGGTACAGACTGACAATCCCCAGAACAGGGGGTGGGGGGGTGAGAGATAAACCACAGAACTTAAATGCATGTATGCATGACCAATGGATATGGACAACAAAGCTGGGGACAGGGTGGGGAGGGGTCAGGGTGGGTATCAGTGGGGGAAAAAGGAGAAACATCTGTAACAAAAATAAATTAATTAATTACATTTAAAAAATAAAGTTAAAAAAAAAAAAGAGGGAAAGCAAAGGGCCTATCATTGTCGGGGAATTTCAATGTGTGTTACATAAACAGGCTGTCTTGCTGACCATCCTGCCTGTGCAGTTGTGAATGCACAGTCTCGATGGGGGCACCCAAAGTTGTCTCCGGACTCACAACTTAAGGAAGATCGAAAGATGTGAAGTGGGACCATAGGCTTTGCTTGTAATTCAGCAAAGCACTTGAGCCTGAATAAAACTGAAGATGTCAAGATTGTACAGGAGTGAGATAAAGATTTTTAAAATTTTTATAACTGAGTTATTAAGTAATTGGCTACTAGTTAGCCCTAGGAAAGTTGTTGTAATATTTATTCACTGTTTAAGACAGAGACTACAAATAACTACATAGACTAAGTCCTCAAAGCACTGTTTCTTCCTATTTAGAAAAAACTTGAACATTAATACTCCCTGACTGATAGACACGTTGAAGGTCAAGAAAGCATCAGAGGCAATAGTCTAGATTCTTGCTCATGAAGGACTAAAAGAAAGTTATGGAATGACAAGAGACCACTAGGTATAGTAATTGGCAATATGCAAGATGGAACAAGGAAATCAAAGTGAACATTCTAATTTAGAATGGAAATAAAAAAACAAAAACCTGAATCTAAGTATGGTTTATATAATTTAAAATGTCTTCCAAGCATGTATTTTATGCTTTGGTTTATAATATTTACAAGAACTTCAGAGTAGGTTGTTTCTGATTTGTTCTAGGGCCCAAAGGGGTGTTACTCAGATTTTTATAAAGAAACTGTAATCCTAAAAAGCGAAAGGTGGCAGAATAGGCCACCCCCCAAAATATGTCACTTGGCATAGGATTATTTTGAACTAAAGGCCTCTTTTTGTTCAACCTAGTGTAAAAGTATTTATGTGTTGAGCAGCAGTCTCAAAGTAGGTATGAATTAAGAGATAGCAATTGCCTAACACAAAAATGGTATTAAACTGCATCTATATTTTGTAAAAAAATTTTTTCTTCATTGATTTTAGAGAGAGGAAGGGAGAGAGGGAGAGAGAGACAGAAATATCGAGGAGCGAGAACATTGATTGGCTGCCTCCTGCATGCCCCCCCACTGGGGATTGGGCCCACAACTGGAAATTGAACCGGTGACCTCTTGGTGCATGGGTCAATGCTCAACCACTGAGCCACACCAGCTAGTGTTGCATCTATATTTTAAAGCTACATTCATTTGATGCAATAAGAAAGGATCTGTATGGCCTGTACCCAAGAGTCACTATTTTTCTTAACTTGAAGCGTTTAGCTCCAATTGCTTGGCCACATTTACAGAAAACATTTGGACGACTCCTGCCTGTCACAGTTGCCAAGGCTCTCGAGTAGAGAGGTTGGATGTAATCTCTTTACCACCTTTCCCATCTCTAAAGCAACAACAGAAAAACTAGTAATAACACCACACCTTTAGTTAGTCATATCAAGTGGCCAGCTCTACCTACTATTTTGTAATTAAGGAATATTTCTATCCTTTGATATTTAATTATGATTTAACGTTGTTACTATCTAAGGCAAATATGTTTAGCCACGAGGGAATTTTTTGAAGTGGCCTCCAGTTTGCCTTCATTACATCATTAATACTTAATTCCAATGGTATGAGCTAGGCTTTACTGGTAGCTCAAATACCCAACCCAAACATAATGATGTAGCTCTTTATTTTTTTATCCTCACCCGAGGACATTCCTCCACTTTTTGTTCAGATAGAGTGGGAGGGGGAGAGAGAGAGAAACATCGACGTGAAAGTGACACATCGAATGGCTGCCACCTACACAACCAACCAGGGCTGGGGACAAACTGCAACCAAGGTACGTGCCCTTAGCGGAAACCGAACCCGGGTCTCTCTGGACTGCAGGCCAACGTTCTAACCGCTGAGCCAAACCAGCCAGGGGAACGATGTAGTTCTTTAAACCTTAAGTTAAAGCCAAGTTATCTTTGTCTCCCAGTTTCCTTATATATTAAGACTCCATCACTGAAAACCTTATTTATAAGGTTACCCTAATAGTATCCAGTTACCTTATAAGTTTAACTCTAACCTTGTTATTTGCTGGTGTGTATGGGCTGGATGGTCTCTAACATCCAGGAATCCCTTTGGGAGATCTTTAAGTTCTGCTTTCTTTGCTGGCAAAGCTCAAGGTTGTTTTATTGTTGTTGTTGTTTGATTGCTTTTAAAGGCAAAAGTGCAAGGATAGTCCATCTAGGCTGATATGTACCAGAATCCAATAAAGACTGACTATGTCACCCTGGTCAGTGTGGCTCAGTTGGTTGAGCATCGTCCTGTCCACCAAGAGGTCACTAGTTCGATTCCTGACCAGGGCACATGCCCAGGATTGCTGGTTCAGTCCCTGGGGTAAGGCAACCAACTGATCTATGTTTCTCACATCCATGTGTTTCTCTCTTTTTCTCCCTTTCCCTTCCTCTCTCTCTAAAAGCAACAAATATATATATATATATATATATATATATATATACATATATATATATATATTTTAAAGACCCTCTGAGAAAGACTATGCTTCCTAGCTGTATGGGTTTGTCCAAGAAGAATGAAAAAGAAGAGGTGATACCCAGGAAGAACACTCTTACTGATGTTTTTGCTTTCCCAAGTCTCCAAATATCAGCCTTTTTCCTTCAAGCTTAAAAACACAATGGTGCATAAAAATATTTTATTTACCTGCAGTGGGATCCAATCATAATTTAATAGCTAAATACCACTCTACTTTACATGAAGACCAATGCAAAGTCAACAAGCCTCCTAGGTGGGGGCTTAAAATCATCTTCATGGAAATCCACAGCTACACTGAAAATTCCTGGAGAATAAGTATCATCACATGGTAAGGTAACCGTTACAATCCATGCGTTTGTCATAAAGCAATACTACTGTTCATAAGTGTTCTGTGAAATAGCAGGAAGTGTTTCGAAAGAAGCCACTGGCTTCAAAGGATGACTTTTCAAACGAACTTTTAGTTTTCTGGAACCAAAAAAAAGAAAAAGCTGAGCCCAAGGCCAACTACCCTCCTTTCTCTGGGGGATTGATGAACATACATGTATTCTCATATCTGGAGTAGGGAAGTCTGTTCTTCACTGGGTACCTGGGTTATGATTTGTCAATACGTTCTCATATGTAATAAGCTTTGGACGAAAAGAGCGCTGCCCAGCTCCCAGACCTGTGCCCCCACCGTCCCCTTCCCCTAGCAGCAGGGTGAACAGACCCAACATGAGCTTCAGTTTATCCATCTATCAAATAAAGGATGTTTCTCCAACCCTGAACATGCTCCCGGCCAAATTCTGAGGTTCTTAACACCACTTCCTTATCTAAGCTTTCCAACAGTTACTATTTTAATGCCCACTTCCCACCCACCAAACCACCCAGGGTTCAAGTTTTCACCAATTAGAGCAAGGGGAATATGTGCCCCCTCAAAGAGGGGTATTATGCTCCAAAATGACAACTACAAGCAAATGTTTGGAAAACATATTGCGGGGGGGGGGGGGGGGCACAGGAGTGAGGCTAAGTGTTGGTTTAGAGAAAGAAGGAGCATACAGTTTCAGAAGCTTTCCCAAATCTTCACCTGCGGGGCCTGACCCAGGAATGGGAGCCTATACCAAGAAGGGAATTTCACTCACAGGAGGGGTCTGGGTTCCCAGGTGGGTGATGAAAAACGCTCCGTAAAGGAACCTGGTTTCTAGTTTTAATGTCACTAACTAGAAGTGTAACTTTGGGTGAGTCAGGGACCTCAGTTCTCACCTGTGAATGTTAAAGCTGAACGGCAGCAGCCAGCCCCCCCGCCCCCGCCCGTGTACTATATAACCTTGTCAATATTCAGACTTAAAAGTTTTGGAAAGTTCCCTGGACGCCTTTGTCCCGTCAGGTCAGGTGACAGCGCTGGAGTAGAGGGCTCTTTTCCATCTCTTAAATACAACAGGCCTTGGCAGACTGGCAGAAGCATCTAACCAGGGCTATTTATTCGCGCACTTATTTATCCTGCCCATTCCATTGTCCCGCTCCACTGGAGTGCGCCGACCACATCCCTGTCCCTTGCCATCGGTCTCTCTTCTAAAGGTGCCCAGGCGAGTGGAGGCTGAGGACAGGGGAAGAAGCCAGGAGCCCGAGCGCAGTCGAGGGGCCCGGCTCCCCCGACGGTTGGGGCCCCTTCCCCAAAGCCACCGCCCACCCTCCCGCCGCGGGGTCCGCGAGTCCGAGGCTCCGCCACGCTTACCCGCGATGTCCCACAGCTGCAGGCGCACCAGTGTCCTGCTGTCCAAGTTCAGGACCTTGAGCGCGAAGTCCACCCCGATGGTGGCCCGGTAGTGCTGGGAGAAGAGCTGGTGGACGTAGCGCTTGATGATGCTGGTCTTGCCCACGCCGAGTTCGCCGATGACCAGCACCTTGAAGAGGTGCTCGCGGATCTCGGGCGCCGCTCCAGCGGCCGCCGCCTGGCCCGGGTCCCCGGCCTCGCCGCCCGCCATGTGCGCCTGGGCCCTGCTCCAGCCGCCGCTGCGCTCGGGGAGCCCTGCGCCCGGACCCGCGGGCTGGCGAAACTTCCCCAAGGCCGCGCCCGCCCCGCGACACCGCCACCGCCTGAGCGTCACAGGACCCGGAACCCGCTGCTCAGCCCGTGCAGGGCGGGGAAAGGGCCGGGCTGGCCTGGCAGGGGAGGTCCCGGCTGGGTGGCCGCCACCCGAGCGCCGCCCCGCTCCTCCCGGGGCGTCTCCCCCTCGCAGGGGCCCGCACGCCCCCTGGTGGCTGGCCCCGGGCCACCCCAAACTCGCCCAGGGCCAGGGAGCCCAGGTGGTTCAAGGTCACCCTGAGAAAGTGCTCAGGACACCCAGCCAGCTCTAGAAAGCCTGGGTCAGAGGGAGGAGGGCTGGAGGTGGGGTGGGGTGGGCTGGGGTGGGGTGCACAGCTGTTGTTCTGAAACTCCCCTTTGCCATTTTTCTGGGTTCTTTCTTCCCTTATCTAATATGTTGGAGCTTTGACTTCTTGGATCCCAAATCTACTTCATCTTACTGGAGCAGATTCTTTAACAAGTTTCTGAGAAAAGGTGCTTTGAAAGTAAATATTTTTGAGTCCTGGCTTACATGCTTGAAAATTCTATTACTCTACCCTCGCATTTGATTCATGTTTGAATAGTTATATAATTCTAGATTCAAGTTTTGACCACCTCAATTTTAATTTCAGAAGCATTTGTTTACAGAATTATTTATTTCAGCACTGCTCTGTCAAGTCTAATGCCATTCTGATCTACGTTTTTTCATATGCAGTCTGTACTTTGGAAATTTCTATCATCTCTATTTCTGATATTTTGAAATTTCATAGGATCTGCTTTAGTGTGGATATTTTTGTAATCCCTGGCTCTTTTAATATAGAAATTTAGATCACTCAATTCTGACATTTTCCCTTGTATTATTATTTTTTTATATATTCTCCCCCTTATTTTTCTTAGTTCTCTCTTTGTGAAACTTCTATCATCTGGTTGTCTAAACTTTTAGATTGAGTCCTTTTTTTTGTATTGAATTTTATATGTTTTGTCTTATAGCAGTCAACAAACTTCTCTGGGACTCAGTGTTACACAAAACAAGCATTTAGTGCTCATTAGTCTGCAGTTGTCTGGGGCTCTGCAACATTTGGCTGCATTTGGCAGATGAGGGTCATCTGCTCCAGATATTTCTCTTCTTCCCTGGACCAGTATCTTCTCAAATGGCAGATGTCCAAGAAAGCAAATGGAAACACATGTGCCTGTTAAGACTGTGGTTTGGAAGCAACACACTGTCACTTCTGCGCACATTTTCTTGGCCTTGTCATAGTCCAACATCAGTGAGAATATGGCCTCTACTCAGTGGGGAAGAGGATAAAATATTTTCTGAAAAATAATCCAATTTATCACACTATTGTTACTTTTTTTTCTTTATTGATTATTTAGAGAGAGAGGAAGGGAGAGAAAGATAGAAACATTGATGTGAGAGAGAAACATCAATTGGCTGTCTCCTGCATGCCCCCTACTGGAGATAGAGGCCATAACCTAGGCATGGACCTTGACCAGAAATTGAACTGGGACCTCTCAGTCCATGGGAAGATGCTCAGTCCACTGAGCCACACAGGCTGGGCATATTGATGTTATTTTATATTTTTGTTTGTGGGAGGTTCTTCTTTCTAAAAGACTTCCTGTTGACTTTTTCTTACAGTCATAATTTTGATTTCCAAGAACTCATCTTTGTTTTTTTTTTTTTTAAAGCACTATTTTCTTTTAAACAAAACAGTATTTTTTTCTCATATCTATCTGAACAATTGAATATTTTTTCTCTGCTTTAAAAATGGTTTTTTTTTTTTCTGCTTTCTAAATTCCTCTTGGATTTTTTCCCTCTCATCTTTCTGTCTTACATATTGGAGGCTATATTTACACGTCTTACGATACTGCATTGATTCAAGAGTGAGACACCCTCATTAAATGGAATTCTGTGAGCATAGGTAAAGATTATTCACTGGTGGGTTTTACAGTAGAATGATTGGATGGGAGATCCAGCTATTATGTTGCTCTTCTTATGTCAACATGTGTAAAGCTTTTCTGTTTGGCTGCTCAAGCTTTCCAGAAAATAATTTGCCGGTCTCCTCGGTGAGGGATGTCAGCCTGGTTGGCTGGCCGTCTCAGTGTTCAGCTTGCAACTCCACTCTTCTCAGGACAGCAGTTTGTCCCTCATTGCTCTGTGCTTGGTATCCTCTCAGGGTAATTTCTCCTGATAACAGGCCTTAAGTATTCTACCGGCATGTGTTCAGGTAGTAACCTGTTGTACAGGATTGCAGAGAGAATCTCATCAAGTAATTGAACTTCAAAGTGACAATATACTCACTTCAGTTCAGAGTCTCCTTTGAACTCTACTGTCTCCTTCAAAGGAATCGAGCTCCAGTGCCTGCATTTTTCCATGTTTATGTGATGAACTACTGGTTGTTTCTGCTGGGCTCTTTTCTTTCTTTCTTTCTTCTTCTTTTTTTTTTTATTTAATTAAATTATTTATTTTGGTTACAGATGTTTGTTCTTTTCCCCCCACTGATTCCCCTTCCCCCTCCCTCCCGCCCTGTCCCCAGCTTTGTTGTCCATGTCCATTGTTCATGCATACATGCATATAAGTTCTGTGGTTTATCTCTCCCCCCCACCCCCTCTTCTGGGGATTGTCAGTCTGTACCCCACTTCCACATCTCTGGGACTACCCCGTTCCTCAGACTGTTATATTTATTATATTCCACAAATAAGTGAGATCATATGATACTTGTCTTTCTCTGTTTGGCTTGTTTCGCTTAGGATGATACTTTCCAGGTCCCTCCATGTCGTCTCAAAGGATAAGAGATCTTTCTTCCTTACAGCTGCGTAGTACTCCATTGTGTATATGTACCACTGCTTTTTTATCCATTTGTCTACTGATGGACATTTGAGCTGTTGTCAGATCTTAGTTATTGTAAATAGTGCTGCTATGAACATGGGGGTACATATATTCTTTCTGATTGGTGTTTCAGGCTTCTTGGGGTATATTCCTACAAGTGGAATCACTGGGTCAAATGGCAGTTCAACTTTTAATTTTTTGAGGTAACACCATATTGTTTTCCATAGTGGCTGCACCAGTCTGCATTCCCACCAGCAGTGTACTAGAGTCCCCTTTTCTCCACACCCTTGCCAACACCTGTTGTTTGATGATTTGTTGATGGCGGCCATTCTGACAGGTGTAAGGTGATACCTCATTGTTGTTTTAATTTGCATCTCTCTGATGATTAGCGATGTTGAGCATTTCCTCATATGTCTCTTTGGGCTCCTTTCTTGCAAGTACTTAGATTTCCATTCTTATCTGTGTTATGTCCATTAGCACTCTTTGTGTGCTGTATATCTTCAAAATACCTGTAGCCAGTTTTCATTTCCCTTTATCTCTCTTCTTGGTCTACTTGATCTTCTTGGTTTTAAAACTTTTATAATTCATCTGTCACCATGTTACTGGAATTTAGGAGCAATTACAGATAAACACTTGTATTTAATTGTCCATATTTAACCAGAATTCAGAATATGTCTAAAGCTTAAAGTCAAATAGTCTATCAACCCTGTTTAAAAATCATCACTGGCTCTACAAGAAAAACTCATTTTGAAGTCTAAATTTTGTAAGATGGCACTTACTGCTTCTCTACAACACCACTGTCATTCATATTGACTCTACTGCTCATCACTGAAATGTGTTCCATTTTTCTAAAATGCTATGCTTTCTTTTATCATGGGGTGTTTGCTCTGAATTCCCTCTTTCCTCTCTCTTCCTTTGTCTAGCTCCTAACAGTCTTGTTTTTTAAACTTTACCCATCTTTTTTTTTTTCTTTTTCTTTTAATGAATTTACAGAGAGAGGAAGTGAGAGGGAGAGAGAGATAAAAACATTGATGAGAGATTGGTCACCTCCTCTATGCCCTTCACTGGGGATTGGGCCCACGACCTGGTCATGTGTCCTGACCAGGAATTGAACCGGCGACCTCTTGGTGCATGGGTTGATGCTCAACCTGGTAGCCACACTGGCCAGGAGCTCCTAACAGTCCTTAGCTCTCAGCTTAAGCATCATCTTCTCTTTCTACTTCCCGAATGCTTAGGATGGATGTCCAATTCTTCCCTCTGCAGATGTGTTCTGTGCTAAGTTAGTCATTTTGGCACTGAATTATAATGTACATTTAGTACTCTGTGTCCCCTTCTGTATCACGAAGGCTAAGCAGGGACTTGGTCTTTGCTACAAGAACATCAACATTTCGTGTTTATGCAGCAGGTATTCATTAAAAATTTGATGAAGGAATACTGAATGAGCACTCTATTCTAAGACCTGAGTTCACATCTTAACTTTTTCCACCGACCAAGTTTGTGATCTTTGAATAAAGAACATAGGATGTAGAAGAAGTGGTGAGGTCAATTTCTGACTCTGCCGTTTCTTATGTGATCTTAGGCAATCACAACCTGTCCAATCTCCATTTTCTCAGCTTTAAATGGAGTTGAAATATATGCTCTGTTGTCTGTACAAAGTGACATATAGATAATATTCATAAATATGCAATATATTTTATAAATGTATAAAATATGCTAAAAGTAAGTCTGACTTGAAGGAGTTATTTAGTAGCTAGTCCTGTGTCCCCTGCCAAGTTCTCTGCTGTGTATGTATAAGTGTGTTTTTTTTGTGTGTCCTTCTATTTAAATAATCAGCTTCTTATTTTTCTTGTGTCTATAGTAATGTAATATGATTATGAACAAAAGCACAAAGTGCCCCTATTGTTAACATAATTGTAGGTAATTATGAATATATGAAATATTTAAATATATCAGAAAATTAAATTTTTCAATATTTTCCATAGGTTACATATTGCTATTTAACCATTATAACTTTAATTCCATGTTCATTTCATATAATTTTCAACAGCCAATGTAGAACAGCTTGGCAAAATATAAATTAAATTCTAGCCTGTTTGGACAATT